TCACGCCCATGGGGATCTGAACCACAACCCAGGCATGTGCCCTGACTGGTAACTGAACCAGTGACCTTTCTGTTCACAGGCCAGCACTCAATCTACTGAGCCACACCAGCCAGGGCTAAAAGCCAAATCTTTAAAGCTTTCCAAACTTCACCCAAAGAGGCACCCCCACCCAATATTCCCACAGGCTTTGAAGTCCTCAACATGGTTTTGCAATGACCCAATTTCTACCTCCTTCCCATTAGGCTGCTGACACAGCTCCTGTACCATCCCAGCAGGAGCTCCATGGTGGCTGAACACGTGACCAACTAAAAGCTGGAAGTTCAAGGAAGGACTCGGCAATTCCCAGGTCTCTATGTAGGATGCCTGGGTTCAGAAAAAAACACTCCAAAGGAAGGAAAGATTGGCAGGAAAAAGGGAGAGCCTATTTTGGGCATGTGGGAAATCAAAGCAGGAATGCCCAGGAGACAGCTGGAGTGTGGACCTGAACTTCCAAGAGAGCCCTGGAGACTCTCGTTACTATAGGTGACAGCTGAGGCCGTGAAGGAGTCGATGACATTACCCCGGAAAAGAAGGCTGAGGGAAAAAAGTAGAGTATGTAGTTGCTGGGGAAAATTAATTCGGAATTTCCCTCGACTCTCGCTCGCTCTTTCCCCTCCAATCCATCTGGTCCTGACAAGTCAGGCGCCTCTGCCCTCAGGAGCTGTCCAGGGCCTGCCTCCCCTTCACCCCGCTGCCGCCGCCAGCCCCCGTGGAGCACCAGAAAGACCTTTCAAAACTAAATCGGATCACATCATGTGTCTGCTTAGATCCTGCTACTGCCCCCACTGCACCGGACCTGATCCTCGCAGACCACCGCCCCCCTCCCCCGCCGCTGCCTGCTGGCCACACTGACCTCTTCTCTGCTCTTCATGCGAGCTCAGAAGGTTCCTGCTTCAGAGACCGTGCTGATGGGTCTACCTGGAAGGTTCGCAGACTCTCCGCTGACTGGTAACCTCCTGTTACTCTAAAGCTGCTACTCTAAATCACTCAGCATCACACTTCCCTTCTCATTATCCTTAGCATTTATTACAACTAAAAATTCATCTTTAAAATTACTGACCTCTTCCCCCTTGGGAACAGAGTTTTAATGTGTCCTGTTCACTGCTGTATTTCTAGTGCCTAAAATATGCTCTGACCCACAGTAGGCACTCAAATATTTGTTGCATGATTTTTAACAGCAGGAAGGAGACTGAGAAAAAACAGAAAGCTGGAAGGAAAATCAGAAGAGGGTGGAAGCTAACAGAAGAGTCTTAAGAAGGAGGAAGTCAAGAAGAATGATGACTAAGAAGCCACTAAATTTGGCAACTCCATCTTTGGTGTCCTTTAAAGAGGCAACTTCAGAAAAGTAGAAGAGGTAGAAGGCAAATCACAATGGGCTCATGAGTAAGTGGGAAATTCGGTGAAAAGGGCAAAGGGAAGGAAGAAGATGAAATACTATTTTGAGGGTGAGAAAAGACAAAAGAAAGAATATCTGCTTGTGCTTTTGAGCTGAAGGGAAAGATGTAGTGGAAAGAGGAATACTGAAGACAAAGAAGAAAAGGTGCTAGGACGAGGTCCCAGGCATTATGGGAAGAGATGGGTTCCTCAAGCCACATTAGTCATCTTTTCTCTAAAACTAACCCACATGACTACAGTACAGTGTCTGTTTCATGTTCAGAAATGCCTACTCCCTGGAAATAATTTGTTATTTGCATAATTCTTACATACTTTTAGTCTATAAAATCATTATTAAAAATCTACACATCTTTCCTAACTCTTAGAAGGTCAGGTACACATTGGTGTGTGGAGTGTTTTGGCGTCAAGAGCCATGCGGTAATAAGCAGTGTCCTCTCAGGTGGTTCAGAAAACAAGTTTTAGAGTGGGGATGAGGGGAAGAGGGGGAGGGGAGAGGAGAAGGGAGGGGAAGAGGAGAAGAAGGGGAGAGGGAGGAAGGAGAGAGGGGGAGAGAGGAAAGAATGAGGGAAGAGGAAAAGGAGAAGAGAAAGGAAGAGGGGGAGGGAGGGAAGGGAAAGAGAGGGAAGGCGGGAGAGAAGGAGACAAAGGGGGGAGAGGGAGGGAGGACAAAGATGGGGGAGACACGGAGCGGAGCGGGGAAGCAGAGCGAGGGAGAGGGAGAGAGAAAAAGGGAGAGAGGGAGAGAAGTGGAGGGAGGAGAGGGGGCTGGTATGCAAGCAAATAGAAAGCAAACGGTACACTGGTCACAGTGGGTAGAATGTAAGTGAAGAATACGTAGATGTTCTCTGTAATATTTGTGAAGGTTTGGCTGTTCTATATTATGTACAAATAAAAATTTTGCACATCTAAGTTAAGAAGGGAAGGCAGCTTCCAGGAAACTGAAAATTTGGCATGCAACTGTCCAATTTCTATGCAGACTATCGCAACTGCTCGAAGGAGCAGGCAGCAAAAGAACCACCGTGGATAAAGGGACAAGGCATAAACCCTGAGCGTTTTAAGTTATTAAAATGTTCAAGCTATTGTAAAAGACTATTTTTATTACAAAATGAGTATTTCCGTAAAGTGAGCACATAACTGTAATCTAGCATTCCTACCGAGAGGTCCACCCCCGCTATTACACTGTGTGAGAGCACACAGCACAACGAACCCCTAAGGAGGGCGCCCCTGGACACCTAGGTGGAGTGGAACCCGTGTTTCCGTCCCACCTTTAACAGAGTGGATAGTGTGGTGAAGACTCTGCTGTGGTGGGATCGCCCAGGAGGGAGAGAACCTGCAGGTGAACTCTGCGAGTGAATCCGATTCCTGCTCAGCGGTACAGACGGCTTTGTGGGCGGTGGCTGGGGCTGCGGAAGAGCGGCCTAACGGGGCTGCGGTACAACTGGGAAATAAGGGGAACGTTCCTTACGTAAGGGGTATTAATTAGATTGAATACGTTTTTCAATTATCAAAAATAGCAATAATGGAGAGGCACCTTCTCCTCTACCCAAGCCCAAACCCTACCCAGGTAGGGACTCTTGCCCCCTGAAGGGGCGGCTGACACAGAAAGCACTGCTGTTTTCTTAGCGACACTGACCCTCCCATGGCTGTCATCCCTGTCCGACCCTCCTCCTTCGGCCTAGGGCTTCGCTAGACCCCCCTGGACACTGACGTGAACGGGGCCCTCTTTCTAGTAGGGAGAGAAGGATACTTCCATGTTGAAGTTTAAACTCGTGAAATCCATGGCTCAAGGTTGAATGGGGTAAGACATCAGCACAGCACAGCACATCTGATTCGGCTCCGACACCCAAAGAAATAGCTGACAAGCTATGTTCAAGTTCTAACACATTGAGAATCAATTTATCCTCAAAGGACAAGCCAAATTTCTCTCCAGGCCAGTAATTCAGGACTAAAAATATCATGTAGGGTCTAAACTCTCACTCTCTTTAAACAAACTCAATCATCACTAATATACTTTCTCCAAAGGGTGTTTTAGGTGACTATCTGCATGTAAATTAAGATTTTTAGGAGCTTTACTTACTTATATTGGAAGGAGCCCCCGCCCCCCACTCTTCAAGTCTTCTCTTAAAACAAGAGTTGTTAGTAAAGGCATCATGAAATTAAGCCATTTCACTTTTTGAGGTTAGCACATAGGAGGATAATTACTAAGTATTAACAAGTTTGAGATCCAACACTCAACAAACCTGTGCTGAGAGCCTCGGTCATGGAAGGAATGCCGAGTCCGACCCCATCCTGCCTCCCGGGGCTACCAGTCTAGTTGGAAAGACGTGGTCAAAGTCGTATGTGACTACATGCTAAAAATAAACAGCATAGACAAGTTTCCTCAATGTTCTGACAAAGACGGTTCTGATAGCTGTGGGCTAGTGTAGTCAGAAACTCGCCTCAAGGGGAGGAAAGATGAGCTACATGTGAAGGATGGCAGGGTTCTGAAAGGTTGGAGGAAGGTCCTTTCCTTGTGTGAAAATGTTTTTACTTCCATAATCATTTCTTTTGAACCTTATAAGAATCCTAGAGAATAAAAAGCTAAACGTATCTGCAGTTTCCAGATGAGAAAAGTGAGGACCAGAAGATTTGACTAGTCAATAAGCAATAATCAATGAAACATCTGGCACCCCAGACTAGTGGGAGAGAATACAGGAAATAAGTCAACCAGATGACAGGACCTGTGGGGGACCCAGCATTTAGAGACGGAAAGAGGGGCCAAATGCCTGAAGTCTAGTTAGGGATGGGCCACAGCCCAGGCGAAAGGTAAGAAAGGCACGCATTGAAAAATGTACAGAACAAATTAGATTGGTAATAGTTGTTTTAAACTTTACATTACCAAGAAAACAACAACAACAAAACGCCCTTTGTTCTCTCCCTTTCATAAATCAGTTTCAGGAAAGAAAACCTCTAACCAACATATCCCCCAAGTAGCTACTGAGAACCCAAAGGGCATAATAATTTACTAACAAAATCTCTAATATCATCAGAAATTTTAAATAGGCTTATAAATGAAAACTAGGATTGTCCACAATATTGCTGGAATCACAAGTTCACAAATTTCAGGGCTGACTATACAATTCAAAGGTTTCCGAAAATTTCGGATGTTTCCATTCAGAACAGTTAGATTTGATCAAATGAAGGCTGACCGATTTCCATACGTAAGCATGAACCAGCAAACAGCGAGAACCCAATAAACATCTGCAGGATAAATGAGGCCACTGTCACGGGCTTTCTAAGGCTAGTGTGTTTAAGGAAAGTTCTCAAAATTTCGGAATCAAGTCTGGAAGGAAAACCTTTCAGCTGCTGTTCACCAGCCTTCCCAACCAGCGCCTTAATGTAAGGTCTTTACAGTCCTGTTTTCCTACACTAATGCCACTACACCACTTGCCGCAGGTGACAACCGCTCAGTCCCTGCCAGGCTCGCCCGCACGGAGCCAGGCCCAGGGAACTGGAGGCACCCGGTGGTCTCGGAGCGCCGCGGGCGGCGCCAGGGGCAGTGTCTCCACTCCCCGCGCCCTACTCACCGCGACGGGGCGGCCGTGCTCCGGGCCGTCGGCGGCGTCGAGGCGCGGGGCCGGGGCTGGCGGCGGGGCGGCGGCCGGGGCGGGCGGCTGCCGGTGCTTGCCGGCGCGCTTGGCCTTGGCCTGGATACAGCGCTGGTGCAGGGCGAAGGTGTGCTGGCGCTCGAGCTCCAGGCGCTCGGGCGACACGGCCTCGTAGCGGGCCTCGCAGGTACTGTGGTGGCGCCGGCACAGCTCGATGCGCCGGCGGAGGCGCTCCATGACCGCACTGTGCCGCGGCAGCGCAAACTCCGCCATGGGGCAGGTGGGCAGCACCATGGGCCGCGGGCGGCACGGGCCGGGCCCGGGGCAAGCCTTTCAGGCCGGCTGGAACTGCGGGCTCCGCTCCCCGCCGGGGGCCGGCTGCCTCACGGCCGCGCCATAGCCCCGCGAGCTGCGGAGCGGGCTTGCGCGCGGCGGCGGGTCTTCCTGCGGCCCCGCTCGGCCCGACCCCGGCCGGCGCTCGCTGCCCACCTCAGACCTCGGCCTGGCCCCGCCGCCCCGGGCCCATTGTTTTCCGTGCCGCCGTCGCCGCCATCTTAAAATTGTTTTCAGGGCTCTCGGAAGAGGGCGGGACCCCCGGCAGGCGACCCCGGCGTCACGGCTGATGAGCAGGGACTGCGGCCAATCAGGATAGGAACAGCGGGCCGCCCGAGGGGCGGGGGCAAGCACGCCGGAGGCGCAGCGGGGCTCCCGAGCGGAGTTTAAAAGGAACTCTCAAGTAAGGGGCGGGCCTCCGTCCGGGGCACCCAGCCAAGTGTGACGGACGGGATCCCGCCCTGAACACCGCCCCCAACGTGCAGGCCCTTCCGGGTCCGCGGTGGAGAGCTGGTCAGTAAGTGCACCGGCCGGCACCACGGCGCTTCACCACTCTCGTCTTCGGCAGCATTTCTTAAGTTGGCTCAGATAAACTCAAAAGTAGCCACGCTTTTTTAGAGTCAGCTGTTTTTCTTCGACCTCATTCCTTACATCCAGCCTCTTAGTTGGTCAGAGTTTCACGAGTCAACTGAGAAAGATTCCCTCCTGCACCGTTCTGAATCGTTTGGGCCGTCAATTCCACTTTTATATAAAAATTTTCAAAACTTCAGGTACTACTTACAAAAAAATAAGAGCCCTAGCACACGTGAGGAGGAGGATCTGGGGAGAGTCTAGCTCTCTTAGTGGGGACGAGAACCGCAAAGGATGACGCTTCACTCAAAACCGGGGAGTTCGGCTTGCAAGCTTCGCATTTAAAAGATGCGTGTTGCTTACTGGATTGAGGCCTGCAAACCAAAGGGCCGCCGGTTCAATTCCCATGCCTGGGTTGCGGGGCAGGTCCCCAGTAGGGAGCCTGCGAGAGACAGCCACACATTGATGTTTTTCTCCCTCTCCCCGTCTTCCCCTCTAAAAATAAAAGATGGTCTTTTTAGGTAAAATTGAGCCAGTGAATCCAACCAAAGGCAATTACGCTCCAGTGTTATAACTAGCAGTCAAATGGGGAGGGAGACTAGGAAAAAAAAAAATACAGGAACGATGAGTTAACAATCAAACTATATAGTTTGTGTTGGGCCAAGAGATCTACCTTCATTGCCAGAAAGTTAAAAAGGAGGTGCCAGGAGGCTGAACGTTGCTAGGCACCATCACTGTAGCTCAAATAGTTGGTACAGCAACCTCTTACTAGGACCCATGACAATGTTTTATTTTAAAAATAAAAAATGAGGATTTACTAAAATAGTGTTTTTATACAAATGCAGTGAAAATTTACAAGTGGCCTACCAAGGCACAAGTGCTTAGAGCTCACAAATGCCGTAATACGGGTCCTGCTTCTTACGAGTCTTTTAACATACAAACTTTACACCAGGATTATTTTGATAGGAAAAAGAATAGTAATGTACGTACTACATTTTGTCTATTTCTCTTCCGGAAGCAGGCCAAAAGTCACTAGCACATTTAAAAAAGGGTTTTGGCTTAACTTTCAAAAACATCCCTGAAATATATATGAACATGTAAACATGAAGTATGGTTCTAAACAAAAATTTTTCTAATAAAAATTTAAAAGTTCAATGATTCCCATAAGTTTTAAAGAAAATTATCTATAAATTACCCCTCCCTTTCTCAACTGTCATCCCTCTCATACAACAGAAAGTACTGAACCCCAGTGAACCCCAATCCTGCATGAAAGGAGGCAAAACTTCCATTGAATTGACTGGACCAAATCCACATGGTGAGAGAAAGTACAGTTGGCCTTCAGTATCAGAGGATTCCATTCTCAAACTCAATCAATCACCAAGGATGGAAAATATTTGGAAAAAAGTGCCATCACTGCTGACATGTGCTATATAGATAGGCCAGTGATTTTCAACCTGTGCGCTGCAGGGGTTTTTAAAACATACATTACTACTTAGTCAGGGGCGCTGGCCTCTTTTCCCTTAGATTGCCCCAAAAAATGACAACAGCCAACACAATAATAGTTTTCAGATGTGAATGTATCGAAATTATACTTTTTGGTCAGATTGGGAAAAACATATTTTTTGGTATGCTCCAGAAATTTAGTAGTTTATGTGTGGCGTGAGATAAAAAGGTTGAAAATCTTGAGTTAGGCCCATGATGGTTGCTGGTTCCATCTGTACTATGTACAGACTTTTTTGTTGTATTTCCTAAACAATACAGCTTAACAACTATTTAAATAGCATTTACATTGTACTACATATAAGTTATCTAAAGATAAAAGTATATGAGAGATTGTGTGTGGGTTATATGCAAATACTATGCATCATTTTATATAAGGCATCTGAACATCTTTGGATTCTGGTATCTTTGGGGGTCGTGGAACCCGTAATTCCTGTGGATTTCAAGGGAGTATAATTATTCCATCGTTCATAGTAGTTTCTATATATTAGCAAACTCTCGTGTAGTGGCCGATTAAAGAAAAATTAACCCACTTTGAAACAGTAAAACACACAAATTAAAGGTTATTATGAAGAAGTTCAGTCAAAAAGCAGATGCTTGACACAGGGTTTTAATGTAATACCATTTAGTAATGTGACAATTTGCGAGAAGTGGAAAGTATTTTGTGGACAAGAGAAACTGAAGAACACATCTGATGGAGTGGGCATTTTACAACAGGAGACAACCAGCACGTAAACTCAATGCAAGTGCCTTTTAAAGAGCCGAGAACTGCAGCTGTTCATTCATTAATGTATCAGACATTTAATTAAGAGGTTGCACCTTGAACAAAATGAAAAAGAAAACCAAGAAAAGGCTTGTTTTGTTTTGGACAAACTTTGCTAAATAACCCTGGAAAGGCAAAGGAACTCTGATTTACACTTGTCATTCCACAGCTCAGCCGGAAGAAACTGTGAGGCATGAAATACCAATGGAGAGTGAAGATGGCAGTTTCTGGCAATACAATGATCCCACACATTTACTTCAAGGAGAAACCTGCAGACGTATTTTCAGGTCTTGCTAAGTAACTGTTTATTCACACTCAGTACATCTGGGAAAGTCTGCTACATAGCTAAGGTCACTGTGACCACAGAACAACAGATGAAAAGAATAAAGCATTGAACAGCAAGAAAAATGCATCCCACCCTCATAAGAATTTAAGTGAACCAGCAAAAAAAAATGAAGATAAACAAAATAAACAGATACAGCCTTAATCTTTTACAAATATATTTCCTCCCCAATATCTACCCAATATAAACACTCTGGAGTGTTTATATTTTCAGTGCAAGGAACAGTATCATCGGTACATCTGAAACACCTCTGAAGAAAGCATACAGCTTAAAGAACATCTGATTCTGAATACACTTCAGTGTGTTGTAGTAATGAGATCACTCCACTGTTACGAGGGAGAGGCTCTGATAGCACCCGTCTGCATTCCGTATGAAAAAACAAACCTACCATCACTTAAAAAAAATCTTTCTATAAGCCACATACTAAAAAAAAATTTATTTTTAACAGGACTGTTTTATCATGTAATTTAAGATGCAACTATTACATGAACTTCAAATGAAAACGTAAAAGGTTTATTAGCAGCTACAAAAATCAGGTAACTCATGCTCTATGCCACTCCTCCCATCAGTACTTTTAGCCTGTGTTCAATGACAGTTAATTCTGAACTGGCTCGCCTCTGGATTAGACTTCTACAGCCTTCACACAGAGTAAAAGAAATGGAAAAAAATAAAAGATAGTATTCTATCCTGTACTTTGACCCTGGAAATGTGTGGGTCCGTTTAAAAAAAGAAACACACATAATCACAATAAAGCTTAACACTATGCAGAGCTTATAAGCATGTTCAGCAATGAACAGCAAGCTGTGCTGTGAAGAAAACGCAGGGCAGAGCAGAGCGCTAGGCATCTGGGGCAACGGGGAGGGAAAACAAGTGCCAACGCAGTGGAAGACGGGATGAAAATACCTGCCTCGACCCTCAAGCTCGTATGTCCTAGTAGCGGTCCTTACACAGTCATCTGCTCAAGAAGGTGGCAGCCCAGATACTCCTGGTGTGTAGAGTACCAAGGCCTGGATGCTGTATTATGCCACCTCCTCCACTAACTGCAAAGCTGTCCGTGAACTAAGCTGTTCCAAGGGCGTAAGAACACACACACTTTATGGTCAACCAACATCAAGTGAGAAGTTTTTTCTTTTTATATGTGCGTTTTTAATACAATTTTAAAAGAATCTTTATATAAATTTGGGCTTCCATAAATCCCTCTTCTCAATTTCCTTAGGAGGAACTGGGCAATGGAAGCAAGTAACACAAGATTATAACCACAAACAACTGCACATCAAACATGATCATCACTTTTAGGGGACAGAGACACTCGAATGTTTTGTAATATCAACTTAAGCAAAATCGGTTGTAAAAACTGCAATTCATCCCTCTAGCATTTCTAAAAGTTGGTGTTATTTCTGCATGGACACATTAATATATTAAATTAGGCCAAGATTTTAAAGATTGGCAAAGTTCTATGACTCTATTTTTTTTTTTTAAAAAAAAGATGTTTAACAACAAAAAAATACAAGTTAGTAGCTTCATGTTACATTTCACGACCATTATGTTAAATGCTTTCTTTCTACATAACAGGTCCTTTTTGTCACAACTGCGATTATTTACTGCTGGATGTTTAACATTACACGGGCTAGTGTTCGACTGAAACTGCTGAAGGTGACATCTGGAGGTTTTCTGAGTTTCCACGGAAGGTGTGCCAGGTCCTCTCCTAGGACCCCATTTGCAGGAGAAGGGGAGGGAGAGGAAATCACAGATCAAGTTCTTAAGATAATTTCACTCTCTTCGAGGCTTTCTGTTTCTTGGTGATCTGTTCAAAATTTCATCCTCCTGTTGGTTGA